CATCGTGACAATTGTAGCTTTTGTACACCAGAACTTGAAGAAGAAAAACAATACGAAATGGAAGAGAAACAACAACAACTTCGGGCTTTAGATGATAATAAGTAACATCACTCTATTAGTTTACATACGCGTTTCTTAGTCAACTATTTTATGCTACCAAAGTAGTCAAATTAATAACTATTGTACTTTTTCGTATTGTAGAACAACGTCCTTGGTCCGAATGGAGACGTACCAATGCATCTTGCATTCAACATACCGGTTATGACGTCGAACAAGTACAAGAATTATACTCCATGTGTGAAGAACCACTGATAAATTATTACTCTCATAAGAACTACCGACTTACGAACAGTGCTGCTACCTGTTATTTATCTCCTATGAATATGCTTGTCGTTACACTATGGCACTTAAAACATTATCATTCTGAACGTTATATTGCTTCGGAATTGAATATAAGTCAACAAGCAGTGAATTATTTGTTGTCAACAGTTGTCGATATTTTACATTCGTGTGTATATCCAGAACTAATTTCAATACCTGCTAATATATCTAGCAGTAGAACACCACACGGACCTCAACGATACCACAAGCTAATAGTCGACTCGACTTTTATTGCAATTCCGGAACCTTATGATTCACAACCACGTAAAGCATATTATCACGCAAAAAGTTCAACAAATTATGCATTGAAAGTACAAATAGCTTGCGATTTTCATCATCGAATAGCACATGTATCCGAATGTTATCGTGGAAGTGTATATGATATTACAGTTCTAAGAGAATCAGGACTAGGGTGTGGGTATGGGTGTCACATTTCTGTCACCCACATCCACCACAACCACCTACACCCACATCCACCAACACCCACCTACACCCCACCCACGCCCACACCCACACCCACACCCACACCCACACCCACACCCACACCCACACCCACACCCACATCCACACCCACACCCACACTCTCACTCGAGTTTCTGAATAACGTTTTAAATTTTATAGTAGTAATCTCCTTATCTATAAAAAGAAAAATACAAACAAAATCGTATAAAAATTGTCTTCGAAGAATTACTTTTATTTTCGAAGAAATTTTTGTACGTTGGAAATATGTTAATCTGAATCCTTATGAACGGACTGAATTGCAATAAAAAATATATACCGGTAAAAAGAATAATATTATTTTCTATTCTGATTATTTGAATTAGACAATACATAGGTCATGCGAAAGAAAAACAGTATCTACCTCTTCCCTTATCAGTGTATTGTGTTGATTAAAAACAAAAAAAGATCTGTCATTATTGTTAGGACCCTAAGTCGATGATATCAAGTATCATACATAAAGAAAATAGTATCAGCTTGTGATTTTACAACTTGAGTAAGATAAATAAAATAAACTAGAACAACAAATCCGTGTGAATTTCTGATGTTGTAAATCTGATGTATTGGTTAAAAAAACTTGTAAAAAACAAGAACATTGCTTCTTGTTCTTATGGCATCAATCAGGATAAATGGAAATTCCAACGTAAAATATTCAGTATAACCGTCCTCCATTATGATTTGGATTATGTGATATAACCGTCCTTCATTATGAATTGAATTATGTGAAATAAAATATTCTCTGTAAAAGAAACAAACAGTATGGGTTTTTAATATTATGACTTGACTGAAGTGAAATAAAGTATCAAGCCTGAAAGGAGCAATATATATACGTATATTTATGCTTGCGAATTGAATTAGATAAAATAAAATATTTTATTAAAAAAAAACAAGGTCCACCACTACGAAAGGAATCATACCAATGAAATAACATACGTGATGAAAGAATGTGAACTTCTCTGACAATGATATGAATGTAGTAAGATCAAAAAATATATATAAAGAAAAGAATACTGATTTGTTTTCTTATTTACTGGAATCGGTAAAATAAAATATAACGCACCAAAAAGAAATGTGAATCTTTATTCGTACGAATCGATTCCGATAAAATAAAAGGTCTTACGAGACGGCAATAATATCAATATTTATCCTTATTAACGTAAAACATTGAATTTTGAAAAAATAATTAAAAGGAACATGAATGTGTATTTCCATAAAATAAAACAAATGAAATAGAAAAACATAATATAGAAGAATTAATACGAATCTATGCTCTTATGAAGTGATTTCGACTAGATTAAGCATTTGTAAATAAAAAAACAATATCAATCCCTATCTTTAAACAGGGCCAAGGAAAAAAAATTATTTTATGTAAAGAAAGTTTGCGTTAGTTTGTTCATGAAATTCATGTGGTTAAACTAAACAAAATACTTAAAAGAAAGAATATTTTCAAATTTCATTACGAACTAAATTAAGTCGAATAAAAGAACATAATGTCAAATAATTAGTATCCGTGTCTTGGTGAATAATCTAATGGCGATTAGACGAAAAATAATTTGTTTTGTACTTCTCATGCATTTATTGAAATAAATGATAATAAAAAAAGATTTCAATGAGTGAAATGACAAAAGAAACATAGCAAGATTAACTAAACATTATTATGGCGATAAAATCAATATTGATGGTGAAAAACCAAAAAAAAAATTATGGCGATAAAATCAATATTGATGGTGAAAAATCAAAAAAAAAATGATATTGAATAAAAGGTAGAAACGTAAAATACTTAGAGCTGCTTGAATATATATATTTGTATATAAAAATGAAACTACATTACTACGCATATTTATATGTCTGATTCATCAGTTTCGATGTGGCTTTTAAACTGTTGAATTTTGAAATAAGTGTGGTTTAGCTCGTGGTAAAATGGATGTTGGTAATACCAGTTGTTGTTTTGATGCTGCATGTTTCTTGCCAATTTCTGCTGCAAGTTCGACAATATTGCTCATTGGCAAGTGTTGCTTGCGAGCAAAATAGGAACGTACCACACAGTATAAAAATACAATACTTGATAATATGATAGCAGCGGCAACCATGTAGATCCACCAATTCTGTTGCATGTCTTTGAGCCAGGCTGCTGGTGCAGTTATGATGTCCCCGCCACTTTCGATAACTTTGCTTGCCGTTTTGCCAACAGTTTTCATCACCGTTTGAACAGGTGTATCAGATACTGGCTTTATAGCTGAATCGCCAATATTTATATTAACATTTTTAGCATCGCCTTTGACATTCATTTTATATTCAGTTTCTGAATTACCAATTATAACAGCCATGTTTTAGAATGAAGATAATAGTAACTGGTAAAATATGAATGCTTTATTATGATGAAGTATTTTTGTTCGTATACCGTAAATTTCTCTTTATTTCATTATCTTTTTTATACTACGCAAGAAAAAAAATAGAAGAAAACGAGACAGTAAATCTTTCTCTCTTTAAAAACAAGTAATCTCGCCAATGATTAATGGTAATATGTTTTATTCTCTTTTATGCACAAATAATGTTCGTATTACATAAGAAAATAGTCATGTTCACTAATAGTAATAGAATATTATTGAATTAGTTTTCACTACGTAAAATCTATGTTAATTTATACTTTTAACTGATGGAAATTTTTAAACTCCATTAATTCTGTTTCATCTTTCTTTGTAGTTGCTAATCTTTATTTAATATGGGTTCAATTTTTTCAAAATCTGTTAAACATTCTCTTCGTATATCAGGAAATAATAATACGGTCTCGATATTTAATGGCGCGAAGTTTGATATCTCACCGATATTTGATCAAAAAATCGAGAATGCGATTATACGATTTCAAAATATCGTGATTGCCAATAATCCAACTATTATAATCAACATCATATTGATCTTAAGTATCGTTATTCTTCCGTTGCTCTTTCTGTATTTAAAACATCGTTACCAACGGCTCTCTTCCGAAATAGAACCCAATAGACATTCATTTATCAATTCTGCCAAATTTTCAACCTCCAATATTACAACTTTACGGAAAAATGTTTCTAGTTATGTTGACGAATATATTATTTAGGAATTATGCGTTTTTCAACTTATTAAATAGTTTACGAAAATAAGCATTTTACAATTAATGTGAAGTTTCAAGCGTGCTTATAAAGAATAGTTGAATAGTTATTTGAACTGAAAAATATTTCTATTCTCATTTTTAAAAATAACCTAATTCAATAATATTCTATTACTATTAGTGAATACGCAGAGCTGTCAGATATTGTGTAACTTTTCTAAAACTTACTTTTAAACTAGATAAAAAGCTAAAGCAGTTGTCCTTAAAAAGTTGATCACCAGTGTTTCTCATTCTGCAATATTAGATTAAAAAACCAGTTCATTCTAATAATTGGTACTTTCATTGCAAAAAAAAGGAACTAATTATAAGTCTGTCAAGAAATGAATATACAGTTTTGTAGTAATTTAAAAAACAATGGTCTTTGCTTGCTATTAAAATCTTTAATGATTTAATACTGTGTTTTTGCTTAAATTCAGATGTTTCAATCAAGTTTGGCGTTAATTAAGAGATTCGTTTTACTCTTACCGATCTAATGTGATTTTACGATTGATTGTGAATAATCACAATGATTGATTTGCAAACGAATAGCTATCGTTTAATCTAAAATTAAATTGAAACTACGTGACAAAACTAAAAAGTCAAGGTTGTTACATGTTCGAGTATTTTAGTTATAAAAAATGTCTGCATGTACTTTACTGATAACCAAGTTTTACGTGTTGACTCAAGGACACGATAACTTAGTTGAATGCATGTATTTTAATTCAAATTCTAATATTAATAGACAGACGGATTCAAGTTGTGAGATAAGATAAAGATTTTTTTACGAAAAATGAAACATACTACCATACGCAGCGAATTTTATGCAAAAGGACGAAATATTTCATTGGGTTATGATAATGAACATTATCCACGTAATTATCGAAAATGATTCTGAAATG